CCTCTTAAGTGCTTAAATTGGCTTATTTGATTTAGTTTTCTTTTTCTTTTCTTTCCTTTCTTCTTGTCCTGTTGTTTTGTTTTGTTTCATTTTGTTTGAGACAGGGTCTTCTTGTTTAGTGCAAGCTGGCCTTGAACTCATTACTCAGCCAAACTGGCTTCAAACTCACAGCAGTCTTCCTGCCTCACCTCCCAAGTGCTCCTATTGCAAGCGTGTGCCACTATGTCTGACAGTTGTTTAATTTTCTAATGTGGGTCTGGGATATACTTTATCACATACAAAATAAATGATTATGCAGTTGTCAATGATTTGTTAGATAAATATAGTCAGTCCTTTTGTGGAAGGTGAAACTGTCAAATAGTTGTATTTTCTGCTGTCAGAGGCAGTGTTAATTGACTGTCTTCTGAAAAGGAGGCCATAATGTTAAGAAGTTCTCAGACAACTACATTCCTCTGAAAAGCCCATCTTTTTGTTGCTTAATCATTACAGTGCATCTTTTTTTTTTTTTTTGTCTTTTTATCGGTACCGGGGATCGAACTTATGACTGCCTGCTTGCAAGGCAGGTGCTTATGCCTGCTGAGCTAAATCCCCAGCCCCCAATTATAGCACATCATAAGGGAGACTCAAATCAATTGCTTTTGAAATTTAAAAGTAAAAGAATGATAAGATGAGCTATAATTTAGATAAATTATCAGTTGATTTAGAGAAAAGATTCAATTTGTCACAAAACTGACCTTAGAAATAATAAGCGAATAATTATAACTCTTTGAAAGGAAAATGAATGACTTAAAGAAGCTTCTTAAATTAAAAATTTTTTCCCTTGTGCTATTCAGATGTGCATATTAAATTTTATTCAACCCAGTGAGAGACTATAGAAGACTTATTCACTCTTGCTTGCCAGTGTATTTCTTCCTTCTTTTGCTTATCGGTTGCTGTTTGTGCACAGGGTTTTAGGAAGGCTGGAAAGGACCAATGCTTTTCATTTATTAAAACATCAGTGTTTCCCCAACTCTAGCGCACCCATCCCCCTGCTCCCCAGGCTGCTGACAGGTCAGGTCTGTGGTCTGTTAAGAATTAGGCCTCATAACAAGTTGGGCTGAGAGACAGGCAAGTGAGGGAACCTTTGTCTTATTTACGATGCTCCCATCTCTCCATTCCTGCCTGAGCTCCACATCCTGCATTAGATTCACATTGCAGTGGGAACCCTACTGTGAACTGCACAGAAGGGATCTAAATTGTGTGGTGCTTATGAGAATCTGATGCCTGACAATCTAAAGTGGAGCTGAGTCGGTGATGGAAGCACTGAGGAATGTAATTATGTATTATAAACATAAACTAAAAAAATAAATAAAAAGAAAGTTCCTTTTTAACCCCTTGTGGGTGCAAAGTGTCTCCATCCATGAAACCAGCACTGGTTGGGGACTGCTATATTACATGACCCACCCCCTCAAAATGGTCTCCCTCTCTCTCCAGCCTCATCTGTTTCTTTCTAGTCTGTCCTTACCTCAAACATCATGTTTCATCAATGACTAAAAGTCATTTCACTAACTATTCCTCCTGCTAAGTCAGCCCATTTCCACTCCATCCCCCACTTTCACACCTTCCATTTAGCCTCACTGGAATTCAGGCAGTTCTTGGAACACATCATAGTGCTTCAAGACTGCCTGTCTCAATGCTAAGTCCTAGAAACCCTTTTCCTCTTCAGCATATTTCACAAAAACTTTTCCTATTCTCTTTATTCCTCAGGAAAATTAGTTATTCCTTTATATCTACGGTGGCGAGCCTATGACACTCATTTTATTTTTTATTTTAGGACAAAAATATTAATGTATGAGTTGTTTTTTCTAAACTAAAACCTCAGTATTCAGGTTTAATTCACATATTTGCACTTTGTGATAAATAAGTGGGTTTTGGGTTGCACTTTGTGATAAATAAATGGTTTGAAAGTTAGAGATGGCACTCATCTCTGAAAGCACTCTCTAATGGCACTCATCGCAATCACTGCTTTATATCAAGGGTTAAATGTCTGGATGTCCTCTCAGGTTCCATGATTCTCAAAAGATTATTTGGATTTGCTGTATCCTGTTCAGTACAGCCATGTGTATAACAGCTATTAATTAGAAACTTACATAGAGAAAGCCCCCAAACAAAATTACAGGTTCTGGTGATGTTTTTAGCTTGTTTTTGAAGTTTTAGTTTCTGACTTTATTTCTCCATGTCCAGAATTCCTCTTCGAAAATATGCCAGTTGGTTTTCACTTCAGTCTTTTTCATATTTCTGACAACTCAAATAGCAGACCTGATCTGCTGCAAGTGCCCAGCCCCTTTACTATTTTATACTTCAGATTCTTCATTTATAAATTGTACTTGATTATAAGATCACTTCTAGTACCACAATTTCCCCAAGGCAACAAAGTATTTACTAACTGCCTGTTCTGCCACATGTACCTAGTACTATGATAGTTGCCATGGAGAACTCAAGAGAAGTTTGAACTCTAAATGCTTATACTCTCACTAGGAAGATAAGATAAAGACATGAAATAATTACGAACTATGTAAGTAAGGCAGTATGTCATTAAGTACTAAGGGATTACCAGAAAATGATTGCTCTTTTTTTGTCTGTCTCCACTTACGGATTGAAAGAAGCTGGGGAAGAAAACAGGAAGACCTATCAGTCATTTCAGGGACCATCAAAAGCAAGAAAACTAAAAAGATGGCTTCCTAATGTTTCTTGTGCAACCAGCAGCTTTCACTTTATCAAATGTACAGTCCAATTCCTTGCCTAGGAAGAAGAAAGTATTGTGTGTTCCATTAGGTTGGATTTTTTGGTGATCTTGTCATGGTCAGGAGTGAAGCACAAAGAGGTGCTCCACCTTTCTCCTTTTAGCTGCTTAATGTTTGTTTAAAAAAGGATAATAACCTTTTTAAAAAATATATCCCAAATCACAGACCATTCTGAGTTTTGTTTTTTTGCTACAAGGCTTTTGTTCTTTTTATTCTTTTCCCCTGTGTTTTTGAAGACTGTCCTTTTCCTTGATTGTCTTTATCATTATTATCATCTTATTATTACTCTAAAAAAACTAGTAAGGATAAAACTAACCTAGAAAGCGGAAAAACTTTTTTTAGTAGATTAAAAATAACCGAATGTGCTACTCATAAAGATACCCCATCTTCTTCCTTGTTTGTACTAAAACCTGAGATTCCTTGTTAACACTGGAATCCTGACAGACATTTGTTCATTGCATCCACTTCTCGAGACTAGAAAAGGGGGTGTGATACCAATGGCTCCACTGGCAGATCTTCTAAAAGCCTTTCCTTGTTTCATCCTCACTCTGCATGGTGGTAGTCTTCTCTCATTCTCTTCTTGGTCATTTGATGAGCGTTAGGGCAACCTCTCTACAGTCTTCCTTTCTATACTAAATTTGGTAGGATTCTGAATATTTTCCCAATTTAGCTGAACCTTCATAGGGTTCTTCTTATTCCACATCAGCACAATCTCCTCTTTCTCTCTTCCTGTCTCTATAGCTCTGTAGCTCTCTCTTGCTCTCATTTGCTCCCTTTTTCCTGCCCCCCGCCATTCTCTCTCTCTGTATTTTGGTTTCATTTTTTTTTTAGATAGGGTCTCTCTGTGTAATTCACACTGGCCTTGAACTTGCTATATAACCCACACTAACTTTGAAATCATGGCTGTTCTCCTGCCTCAGCCTTCCAAGTGCTCACCATGCCTGGCTAGCATTCAATCCCTTTCTCAGGGGACTTATTTAAAGCCCATATAATTGTAAACATGTAAACTTGGACACATCTTTACCCTTTTCTTTTTATGTCCTACTTGATTGGGAACCATCTATCCATCTATGGATAGATATCCAACCATCTATGAATACTCTGCTGTTATTCGTAACTTCCTGTCCTTCTGTATTTGTAACCTCTTCATTCTATGTACTTTTTTGCCTCATCCCTTTCTGTATCCTTCCAGCCCTCGTTCTACCCATGATTCTCTCTTTCTTTTATCTTTGATACCTCTGTCCCTTTAAACTATTCCTATAAACACAGTCAAATCTTCCTCTTCAAAAAATGCACACACAGCGTGGCATGGTGGTGCACACCTGTAGTCCCACGGGTCAAGGCCAGCCAGGGCAACACGGTGAGTTCAAGGCCACCCTGGACTACACAGTGAGACCATGTCTCTAAATAAATAACTAAATAAATCAAATGCATGAAGCTTAAGTTTCAGAGTTCTTCACTTATATGGGCATTTTCCAGGGCTTTGCTCTCTCTCTACCAGTGCATTCATCTAGTTACATATGTTGTAAAATTTCCAAAAGTGAGATGTTTTATTTGTAATCAATTAAGACCTCTGCCTTTTTTCCATTTTGACTTACCCTCCATCATACTTCCTTTTATGTCAAGTAGTTTTGGAATGGCTATAAACATTTTGGGGGTCATGCTAAAAGAAAGCTCAGTTAAAATTTAAAGCAATATATTATATGGTTCACACTCATTTCCTTATATAGTTAAGTTATTGCTAGCCATCTTGAGGTAGGAAAGACTTCAGAAATACTTGTACCAGCCACTATATTTAGAATTGTCGAATATATTGTAAAGTCAGAGGTTATATTGCAAAATTATTATGTACTTTAGTTCCCAGCACTGAAAGTTTGTGCATTATAGAAAAAAAAAATGTTTCAAAATGTATGAAGCCAGTAGCTAATTAGTCTATCAAAATTTCTTTTTGAGTTTCTTGCTGCAGTGTTTTCTTCATATAGCTCCTCATGCTTTTAAGAATTTTATACTTTAACACTTTAATATAGTTTTTAGAGATGTGGTTTCATCATATAGCTCTATATTATTGCTGAAAATGGAATTTCATCCCTACTCATTCTCTACTTCTTAACTTTCTTGATTCATCTATCTAAATTCCACCTCTTAACTATATTATCTGTAATAATCTATGGTTGTATACTTATTTGTGTGATCATTTGTTTTCTGTGACCTTCTTAGGTATTAAACACGCTGGAGGCAGGAACCATGGCTTCTTATATATATCGACCCTTCAATAAGTATTAAGTAAGTAAATGAAATAAATGAAATTTTAAAGCTAAATTATATAGTTGCTTAAAATAAATACTTAAAAACCTTGTAGTAGCACGTGCCTATGGTCCCAGCACTCAGGAGGCCAACGAGGATCGCTGCTTGTTAAGGCCAGTCTAGGCTACACAGTAAGATCCTGCCTCAAAATAAAGTAAAATAAAATAAAATAGAAAACTGCTCTAGGATGCTCCAATTCATGCTCTCTCACTGTGTCATTTAGGGTGGGCCTTGAGCTTGCTATGTAGCCCAGGCTAGCCTCAAACTCACAGCAATTCTCCTGCCTTAGCCTTCCAAATGGGGGGATTACAGGCATGTGTCGCCATGCCTGGCTGCAGATTCCTTTATTATAGTACTTTGATAAGTTTAAATGCTGTTATATTTCTATAGTACAATTTTGGGAAAAACCAAGTGTACATTATACCATTGACTCAAAAAAAAATGTAAGCCAGCTTCTAATGTAAACTCCAAGGTTGAAAAGAAACAGGAAATTCAAACTGTTATTGACTGAATTTTGTCTTTTCCTTCCCTCTTGACCACACTTCTGTCCCAGGCCCGACTCTGTTCTAGCTCATGAGCTCACACCAATTTTTCATCATAAATTAGTCTTCCTACCATGTCATGTAATTGAGAGAATTTTTTCTTCAAAGTTTTTTTTACCATAAGAATTAGATAAATCCCCTTACGTTACTCAGACATGATTGAGGGTGTTTAGCTTTGTTTGTTTGATTTTACATTTTTCAAAAAACAACTTAGTAGATAAATAAAAGGGGAGGATGTTAACATTCTAAGATGAGCGACAACAAAAGAAGAATAGCATTCTAGTGTGTAGACATACATCCTTATTCCAACATGATGAAAGTTTAGCTGCCTCTGGTGTTAGTGAAGACATTGTCCTCCCCCGCCCTTCTTTTTTTAAATACTGTCTCTGGAACCCTAGTCAGAATTCCACTTTTATTGTTCATTCTTTGTCCTTTTATCCATTGTTTTATAGGCAGAAGAAATGAGTAGACAACTGAGTTATCACATAGAGAAAATTATGTAGGCTTCAAGGAATTGAACAGACTGATAGCTGAGAAGAAAGAATTTGTAAGGTGTAAGTAAAAGGAAAGATAGGAAAATTGGCAAATCCTGGAGCTAAATGGTGGAAGGGAGAAATGGGGGTATTTCTGAAGGAGTGATCAAAGAAGTTTGAATATATAAAGCACAGGCATATGGGTAGCTTTCAGGAGTACTTTGCAGTGTTAAGATTTCAAGCATTTGCAGAAAGTCAAAGTATTTCCAAATTTGCATGTTTTGTAACTGAAATTTGAGATCATTCTTTTTCATTTCACACTGAACTATCGAAGGGTTATGCTATTTGTGGAGTTTTGATAGGGGTATATTGACTGACCATTAATTTGCATTTAAGCTCATCCAGGTTACAGAATTTGTGCCTGTTTCACAGTCAGTATGTTGGGAGCTAGGACACAGTTTTAATACAGTTGACATGCTTGCAGCCTTAGCTCCTTTTACTTAAAATTTAGATTAATGTGCAAGTCAGCAGATTTGGGGTGGTCTCATCGTCATCCTTCAGAGAAGTAGATTCACATGAACCAAACTCCTTCACAACTTGGCAGGATGGTAGTCTTCTGTCATACGTCACCCAAGACAATACAAGAATAGCAAGGACATTAGAGGTCAGTCCTGATGTGGACTGCCAGAGTTTATGTGGGGAAAATTTGCCCAGAATTTGCTTTCACTCTCTCCAGCCTTTACTCATACTCTTAGTTGTTTCCTTTTTATAGAAATGAAAAATTATGAAATGTTCCATTGAGGTCTCAGAGGAAAATAGAAGAATAAAATAATGATGCCAAAGTGTTTCAAAAATGTCAGCAAGGAAAAGAGCAAGAAATACTTCATCTTTATGCAGTGGTGACCAAGTTGAAGCTGGTTGTTTATGCTATTGTATTTGCTGGGCACATTTGGTATGGGAAGGTCCTTGTTGTCATTAAACTTTTGAAGGGAAAAGTGATATATGCTTATCCAAAATATATTATTTTTAAAACTTTTTTGGGCAGCTCAGTCATGTTATATTCATGGTTAAAATTTCCTTGACATAATATCTCAATGTTTTCAAAGAAATTAACCTTCATGGTTGAGCTTCATCTGCTTTTTATTATAGTCTATGTAGCCTTCAATTCCCCAAAAGTAGTACAGACTTTGGATATGTGGGTGGATGTGTGTGTGTGTGTGTGTGTGTGGATGTGTGTGTGTGTGTGTGTGTGTGTGTGTGTGAGAGAGAGAGAGAGAGAGAGAGAGAGAGCATTTGGATTGATTTGTTCCAACCTGATGTCAAGACATAAACCTAGTAGAAGCATCCTATCTTTATTTTCCTTTCCTATAGAGTTTTGAGTATTTTATCTATTCTGGTTGATCTTAAAGATATTAGAAAGTAAAACTGTAGAGAATCAGTAGGGAGTTTACAAGTCATATGTGCTAGGCAGGCCCAGAGCTTGACTGATTGGTAACTAACTACTTTCGCCTCTCATCCAGTTTCATACATACCTCCTTCATTGGTTTCTCATAGATGTCCTCCTGCCAAGGGGCAGATTTTGCTTGAAAAGCGTCTCTCTGAAGAGCCTCTAGTACCTTTTTTGGAGTGACAAACCCATACTGAGCTTCCAGCAAAGCCAAGTCCATTTTTTCAGCCTTTAAAATGCCTATGACTTCATCTCTAGCCTGTAGAAACAAAAGGTATTTGAGAAAACCTGTTTTATCTACTGGCAGTCTCAGCAAGTGATTTCTTATGAGTTGACAAAGAGCTTTTTCTTCTCTTTCATATATAAATGAATATTTGTTCACAGTATCTTTTTGGAACGGTGACAAAACTATGTCCTTTTATGTTCCTTGCCATGTAATTATTCATTAATATTTTTTAAAGTGATCACTGTTCAATATTTATTGAACAATAAAGTGATCATTGAACAATAAAAAGACTAAATTCTTTTTATTTTTGACAGTCGAATAACATGAAATCCCTTAACAGACTGGCATTTGAGTTTTCAGGAGATAGAAAATATGCATAGCAGCTGTTTTGGACTTTCACATAAATGAAAAGGTTAATAATGCAAAGAAAATTATGGATTGGTTCACATGGCGTACAAAACAGCTATTGTTACTTAAACCAATCCAGAAGTTACCTGACTTGATTGTTACTGATAGGTGACTGTGTGCTGAAGCTTGGGAGCAGCATGGACAGAGGATATGGCCTTTCACAATATGCGTGCCAATTATGTCATAATGACCCCTATCTTGGATGTGATTAATTGCTCTTTGACTTGGTAGAAGAGAATTCTGTGTATGTATATTTATGCTTTGCTTTTGTATGCACACAAGTATGAACCACAGATAACTATTTTTGTGACCGCATGCATATCAAATTCAGAAGCGCTTCTCTTTGAAGCTAGAGATGACTCCAACCCAACTGACCTGCAGTTCTCCCTCTAGAATGCTGAGGAGAAATAATAAGTCATCTCTTGAGAGGTCTTCTGCTTGATGGCCATTGCCACCCTGTGATTTCTCTGAATTGGGATGTGGTAGGAATTCATCTGATGCACTAGTGGGATCTTTCTCTTGCTGCCTATGCTTCATGTCCAGGAAACTGTGATCTTTAGTGTGTCTTGGAGCTTGCTTTTGGGCTGAACCCTCAATGTCACTGCTTCTGGAACGCATTCTCTAAGACCTGGAAGGAGAGAAGACAATTTGTAACTCTTAAGGGAAGTAGAATTTTATAAATTTACCCATTACTGCTTTAACAAATCTGTATTCTTGTTACATTTATCATAGCCAAAAATTTGATCATTCTGATGTCTACAGCAGAGTATTTAGCAGATTCATAAATCAGTCTTCTTTCTTTACACTTCTGCTTTGAAAGTCGACATTTTAAAAACATGTTCTGCTTTGATTAAGGCCACTAATGTCCATGGGTAAACAAACTGAAATTCATTCACCAGGCATTCCACCACAATGACCCAAGGTCATACCTTCAACTATGGCCTAAGAGCTTTCTTGAGACATACTTAACATAATTGTAAAATGCTATACTTGCCGAGTATTTTTCTTCAGACCCACAGCCTTACCTTTTAAAGTTACTGAGGTGTTTTGTTTTGTTTTTTGTTGTTGTTGTTGTAGTGTTTGTCTTGTTTTCCTAATTTTTTAGCTTTTGGTGCATTAGGATAAAGTGATGCTTCACAATACTCTAAAATTATTCTGCTGTAAAGGCAAAGTCTAGTATTAGAGGAATGAAGGGTCATCCCCTGGCTATATTCCTGACATTCTTTTAAAATTCCAGATCTATCCTTGAGTAAATCAAGGACTTGTGTTTAGTCTACTTATCTCCAAAGGAGAGATATTAATGCCTATGATAGTTGACTGTGAGTATTTGAGGGCCACATTAGGTGCACATATTATTGTCTAAATTTATTTATAATAGTAAGAAAAATTATTTCACTTTTGAAGTTTTTGAATAAAGTGAACATAGCAATTAAACTTGTAGTAGAATGCAATAACAGTAGCATGCTGTTAATTTTATTTTGTTTAAGGGTGCGGGTTTTTTGAGACACAGCCTTGCTTCTCACTATGAAGCCCAGGCTAACCTCAAACTCACGGAAATCTTCCTGCCTCAGCCTTCCAAGTGCTGGATTTATCAATAGATACCACCACACTCAGCCTAGAAAGTGCTGTATACTTGCTGCACACTAAAAGATAATGAAAAGTTATTATGTAGATTACATATATTTAAATACTTGTCTTCTTTTTGGATGTGTATGTGTGTGTAACATTGAATCAGGGGTCTCCAGCATGCCACACAGATATTCTTACCACTGTGCTACACACCTACCTTAATATTTTAAATCTCTATTCATGACTCCAAGATATATCTGACCTGGTGTTCCATTTAAATAAATGTTTAATGGGATAACTGATTTGTTCCTTCTACTTTGTGACCTGCTGTCTGAGATAGATGTACTACTATATAACAGAACACCAAGATGGTGAAAATGGCTGCAGTAGCTTAAAACTCTATGGTTTATTCCATATCTTCAGCCATTTTGCAACACCGTTGTGATACAGGAGAGATAAAACTCCCAACCTGCTAGATGTCAGATGTGCTGAGTTCATGGGCCCTAAATAAAAGAATAGATTCTAAAGCACAAAGGAAGTTAAGAGTAGGAAGGTTTACTGGGGAATAGAAATAGCTTCTGAGAGACGGGAGGGTCCTGAATGAGTTGACACGGAAGTCATCTTTCTAAGAATGTCTTATAGGGCAAAGTTATGTAGTGGGCACATCGTGGTCCAGACTATAATCAAGCAATAAGATTACAAGTATAGTGTCTTAGCCAAACTTGATCCACTAGGGAAACAGGGCACATTGCGAGGACATATGGAAGACATAATTAACCTTGGTTGATCATCTCAAGAGTGTTTAGTCTTTTGCTTTAGTCTTAGTTGTTTCAGTCATTTTAGTTTCAGTCTTAGTGTTAGTGGGTGAAAAAAGATGATCTACTCCTAGAGAAATAATGGTCTACTGCTATGGGAAATTCCAAAAGGAAATTATGTAAATCTGACCATTATGATTTTAATCTTGAGACCTTGACTTCTTCAGTCAGGCCTCCAGCCACAATTCTGATGTCTCTGCCTTTCACTGACTGCCTTGAGAACCCAGTCCCTTTCTAGCTGTGCATTAGTTTTTATCTAATTTGGCTGCTATAATAGCTGGGCTTGGATGTTCTCAGATGTGCATTCTCCATACCTGACTGTAGGGACATCAGCTATGTCATCTTATCTCTGCTTCACAGACATTGTCATTCCCTAGAAGGCTAAACAGGGATTCCCTACATGGTAGACTTATAATATTCCAAGACATTGACAGGTGAAACTCTCAAGGTCTCATTTTGTTTGATAAAGGACATCTCAAAGCCAACTTAGATTTTGGGGTGGCAGGATCAATTCTACTCCTAGGTGGAAAGAGCTATGGAATCACATTGCAAAATACTGTAAGGAGTTAACTATAGTCATCTTTGAAAAAAATCTATTGTACAATGATATGAATTATTTTGAAAAATCTAAAAAAGCTTAAAAGACTGGGAAGGTACATTTAGCTCTTTCCTTCTTTTAGTTTCCTGAAAGCATAAGATGTTCTTTGGGTTTTTTTTTTTTTTTTTTTTAAGGATTTGTATAGTGCATTCCTGTGCTTTTCTCCTACCCACATATTCCTATGTGTAAAGATAACTTACTGATAAGAATTAATTTGTTCTGTATTCTGTTGCTAATCAATAAGCATTCCCCTGCCTTCCACAATTTTATCTAAGGTATGTCTTCCAGAATACTAAGATAAGGAAGCCTCTATTTGGCAAGATAATTTGCTAAGCACTGCAGGTAGCAGTGCCCTTTGAGTTTAAGGCAGCCTTGAACTGCCCCAAAGACTGAATAGATCCCTTACATCTTAGGTTCTCCCAACTGGCTCTTAAAGTAGATTGGGTGAAATCTGTCAACAAAGCAAAGGACATTTGCCAGTGATATTTCTAAGTAGGAAAAAAGAATGATCTGAAACATTTTACCCTGTTTTTTATTCTTTTAAAAGTGATTAGAGATCTTTCTGATGCCACCAGTTCTCTTTCAGGGAAGGGGTAAGAATCATAGCAACATTTTTGTTGGTTAATGAACTGGTCTTTACATTTGATTTGTGAACAGACTCGTCTTCCTCATGAGCAGACTCCTAGTCTTCTGTGACTGTATCTCCACATGTTTATAGTGATGGAGTTTCCTCCACCCTTTGCCAATAACCACAAAATGATCAGTAATGAGATGTAATTAAGTTTCGAGAAAAAGAAAACAAAGACCTGAATGTCATGATACTCTCATGCTTTATATTATCAGTGACTTCATTGTTTCCCTTGGCAAATTTTTAATGTATCTGTGCTTGGCCCAAGAATGCATACTAGGGCAAAGAAAAATGTTGTATTAGCAAAAATAGTTACATATTTTCAAGTTGTCCTCTGCTCCCAAAAAAGTAATGGAAGATTGCTTTTGTTTATACCAAACATAAATAATGCCTTACTCTTTTCATGAAATATAGGCAATGATATAATGCCTGATGAGTTTTCATGGAGAAAGCCTGCTTTCTTGTTAATTTAACACAGAATAATAGGATGTTATCTGTGACTGAGATAGCCATAAAATAGTGGCCTTTGACAGTGTCAGGAAGCCTAACCTCTGATCCCCAGCTCTGCTTTTAATTAGCCAGGTTCTGGGTGTCAGTTAAAAAATGAGAATGTTCTTTTGAATGGTTTTACACTGTCTTTTTATGTTTGATACTATAGTGTATGAAGATATACTCAAAGAAAGAGACACTATGGTAGCTACTGTTATGTCGGGCTGTCTTGTGGTGAAACACTATGTTGCTTAAATTGTTCTGTTCTGACCTGTGTTGTTATGTCCTCTTTTATCTTAATCTTTTTTTAAAATAAAAAATATTTTAAAAAATCAAAATGTTGGGCTACTTTGGGCCCACAAGCTTATTTATGATGGAATAAGGACCAGGGGTTCTTTCTATTGATCTCTACCCAGTTTCCTACTTCTAATGGATAGCAGAGTTGGGGCCTGAGATTTTGATGATCTCTGAGATCCTGGGACTTCCCGCTTTAGAATTTTGTGATTCTCTGTTGTTTTGTGTCTATGGATACAAATACCATGCGGTTGGTGATGAGAAGTAGACTGTGGTTTGTTTTTCTTATGTTGTGACCTAGGTCAGTTTTTCTTGGGTTTAAACTAGTTGAAGTCCTGGTGGCTCTTGTTAAGAATGTGTCCATGCAAGAGAAAGATTGCAGAGAATTTGCAGTTATTTACTTTAGTTCCAGGAAATGGCCAAATGTAAATAGAGGCCTGTCCTAGTCACTCCCCAGCCCCCCACCCCCAGCTAACTACTTAGGGTTTTGTTATTGTTGTTGTTTCTTGAGACAGAGTTTCACTGTGTGTACTTCATACTGGCCTTGACTTACTATGTAGTCCAGGCTGGTCTTGAACTTGCAACAATATTGCTGTCTCAGCCTCTTGAGTCCTAAGATACCTTGAGTCCTAGGTATCACCACACCTAGCTCATAAATTTGATTTTTAAAATCATTCTTCATTAATTTTGTACATCAAAAATTGTTTCTTCTACATAATTGCGAGCTGTTAAGGCGTAATTTTAGTCTTCCTATACCTATTTATTTTCATATTTGAATTATGGAATGCATATAACAAGAGAATATTTTGTTTGCATAAAGTGACTTGGAAGATCCTCAGAAGAAATTGCCTTTAAATCTTCATCATTTAAAATCTAGGTAGCCAATCAAAACTACTCATTTAAAGAAAATAATAATTATGATGATATAACTGATATTTGTGCAGTATACATCATAGATAAGCCTGTTCTACATCCTCACAAAAACTGCTGTTTTCTCCTGTTTTACAGGAGAGGAAATCAAAGCTTGAAAATATTAAATTTATTAAAGTCACTATTAAAGAGGCAAAATCAGGTCATAATTGGGGCATTCTTTCTCCAGAATCCACTAAATCATGATGGTGTGTGTCTACTCAGTTCTTAGAGAAAGGCATTGTAAAGGCAAATTCTGGCTTAACTTTAGTGTGTTCATTGAACATTTGGGAAACACCTACTAGGTCAGTCAGGTATTGTGCTGGGCAATTTTATTTTAGCTAGTTTATTATCCAGGCTGGTGTCCCATTTGTTCAATTTTGGGTACCTGGAATTATTTTTTTTTAATATGAATAACATAAATTCACAAACCTTTATTTGGCCTTGGAGCTGTTGGGCTACTTAAGAAAAATGTTTTGTTCATATTGCATTACATAGGTGCAGAAACTATATTTAAATGCATGGTTATTCTGTGGAACCACTTTGCTAACATCCTGGAATGACAGGACTGTCTTAATAGAAGCAGTTAGAGATTGTATAGTTGGAAGTAGACTTAAATCTTACTTCCAACATGTTAGCTCTGTGGCCTTGAGCCTTCAGAAGTACAATGGAGATAATAGTATCTATTAATGGTTGTATTGTTCACACTCTGTGAGCTCAGAGGCCCTTTTGTTGACGTCTGTGTCCCTAGGTACAACAGCTGGAGCTCAAAGGAATTTATTAGGTGACTGAATCATGCAGTGCTTCATGAGCAGAGCTGGTTGGCTCTGAGTCGAAGCTGCCTCATGCTATAGATGATTCATCTGTGAAACGCTGGCTAGAAGCTTAGAAAAAGTTTGTGGAGAATCAACTGAAATAATTCTTCTACATGTCTTTCCACGTACCAGGCACTCTTGGAAGTGCTTCATGTATGTTAGCTTATTTCATCTGAAAGAATTTTAACCCCAAGTAAAATTTTTTAAAAAACAACTGTAGGAAAGGGCCTAGGAGAGGCATATTCAGTATAGTCTTATACTCCTATAAGAGATACCAAAGACAAAGAAATTAATGTCAATTTCAGGACATCACTTACTTATACCAACATAAACTTCAGTGTCTCTGTGTGTGTGTGTGTGTGTGTTTATATGTGTAGACATGTGCTTTTATGCACAAGATAGGTAAGTAATGTTAGATTCTCAAATTAAATCTCCATTTAATCTCACTGAATTTGAAAAGTTTTCATAGATATCCTGACCCTTGCCTCTTCTCAGTACTCCCTTCAGACCCTTAAATACCAAAAACTGGGTATCTACTACATTTCTCTTTTTATTTGACCATAATTTTTAGGTATATCATGCTTTACTATGTCATTTAAACTTGACTTGTTAAGAAATTTTAGGCATGAATTGTTTGTTTTGACAAGAAGATACCACAAAGACTTTGTAATGCAGAGCAATCCTGTGCTAAGTAGGACATTTGTTGCCAAGGGACAGAACTGGGAGTGATTCAAGGTTTTAAGTTTTGAATGTGTTTAACATTCCTTATTTTGGTGATTTTAGGGCGCTTGTCTGCTTTCATTTACCTTTCTCTTTTACTTTCCCCTCTAAATGCATTGCACCATTAAGCTGAATCTTAGTTCCCTCAAAAGGGAATAGAAAGAGTTGTAGTAAGAGTATGGGATTCTCAGCACAGTTGGTTTTAGGTTCTTAAATAGTAACCAACTTATGGTAAATGTGATTAATCTATGAAAATACTGACTATAAATAGATGTTAACAGTGCTCTGTTACAGATGACCAGGTTGTGCTCTCATGGCCAGATTAGGGCAAAAAATCCTGTTGGGATTTTATTTGGTTTCTGAAAATAAAAATAAAAAATTGTTTCCTTTTGTTACCTTGGTTACTGACATTTGAAGACACTAAACTCAGCCAGTTGCAATAAACCTATCTGATGGCTAAAAATGACAAATTGAAAATCAGATAACCTAATTTAGCAGTTGGCTTTATCTTTTTCTCTCATTTTCAGTAAAGACATCAAAATATTTCCTCCATGATACTTTTTATTTCAGATTTTGGAAGAAAAAATGAAAAATGGGGCTGTGAATCTGGTCCATATTCCAAAGGATTCTAAGAAGATCAAAGTCACAGAGGGGAAAAAAATTAAATATGACTTTTAGAAGCCAGAATGGTAGTCATCTCATGTATGTAGTTACTTTTCTTGTTGGTGATACAAAATGCCTGACACCCAAAGTTAAAAGGGGAAAGGTTTATTTAGCTCATAGCTTGTAGAGTTGTTAGTCCATAATTGTCTGTCTCCATGATAGGGTGGTCTGGTAGACAGCATTGCTGAAGAGAAACAGTTTATGGCAAGCAGAAGGACTGCAAAAGCAACAAGGGATAAAACAAACCTCTTTCTGTCCCTTATATTGTATCTAGGCTACTGGGGTTAGGGTGGTGCCAAACCAATTAGTGGACTGATTTAGTTGTCATCCTCCCTTAATCCTAGCTTTGCATCATGAATCAATCACACATTCTAGTTTCTGAAAAAGCCCTACCTGTGACAGCATTAATCTTCAGGGGGACATCTAGACACAAGCTAGACATACACAACATTTTGCCCCTCAGCCCACAAAGACTCATGTACATCCCTGTATGAAAAAAGCATTTAGTTCATCTCCAAGAGTTGCCAAAGTCCTGTTTCAGATTGCTGAAAAGTCCAAGTCCAAAGTCTCCTCTGAGATTTAAGGCAAACTCTTATGTCCTTGTACAAATGAAAAAGTTCCAACATAGAATGGCACAAGATAAACATTACCATTCCAAAAGGTACAAAAAGGGAAATAGAAAAGAAGAACAAAGCAATTCTAAAATCAAGGAGGGCAAACATTAAGTCCTATAGTTTCATGTACAGCATCCGAGGCAATTTGTGGCAAAATGTGAGCACTAAAAGGCTTGAGTGGCTCTACTCCTGTGGCACTACAGTTCGGTGTAGTTTCCATAACTTTTCTCTTGGGTTGTCTTTGCTCCCTTCTCTTAGTTTCCCTCAGACAATCTACATTCCTGGCTTCTCTAAACTTCTGGTGCTCCTCCAGTTTCATACTCAGTTTTGCACACCGTCCTTTCATGGGCACACTGCCTGGCCTACCAGGCCTTCTTTTCAGATCTGGCTGGAATCATTCATGACCCTACACCTCTTGCACTCTGTATGCTCCTAAAACCTTTAATATTTTCCCCTTTAACTTTGGGTGTTAAATCCAAAACTAGCATCACACGGATGATGCCAAGGTCTGCTGCCAGCTGGAGCAGTAGCCAGCTTCCTTCTCTCTTGGCTAGGATCCAATGCCTGTGAACTCAGTCCCAAGGAATAACTTCTCTAAACCACTGCCATTCTGGAACGTGGCACTCCAGGAGTCGCTTCTCAAAGAAGTCTTTCATTTTTGCAATTTTTAGACTGCAAAGGATAGAGTCTTGTTCCTTGTGATAACCTCAAGCTATCTTTTCTAGTCTTATATTCCTTCTCAGCAATCAAGATCTCCTTTGCTCTATTTTGTAGTCCACAGCTTTACTGGAGCTTCCTTTCTGCCAAATTCAAAATGTTTAAATCACTCTTTTTGGCTATTTGCTATTGATTCTCAACATAAATACAGCTAAAATCCTGCAACAGTAGCTGTGACACAGCCCTAATATTAGACTGCCTTGAAATTTTTTCTGCCAGATTAATTAGTCTACCACCTTTAATCTGAGTCTCAGGCAAAGTGTCTGGACATGCACAGTGCAGGCAAACTTTCTGCTAATGCATAACACACATCATCAGAAGTCCAACAACCAGTGCAGTCCTTCTTCCTAACAGAAACCTCCTGAGCCTGGTCTTTGTCAGCAAGATTTCTATCAACCATCTCATCTTCTGAGCTCTGACAAGGCTGTTCCACCCAATAAAGTTTAGTGTTCCAGCTCTACTTTTGCAGCTAGTACTACTAGTTCCAGCTACTACTAGTTGCAGCTAGTTCCAGCTACTTTTGCAGCTCTCTGAACCTTCCCTAACTCTTTCCCTTCTTACAAGCCATTTCCAAAGGCTCTTGAGCCAGATGGTCAGGTAATGTCACAGCAATTACCCCACCCCTTGTACCAGATTCTGTCTTAGTTACTTTTCTTGTTGCTTAGACAAAATTCTCAACACCCAAAGTTAAAGGGGGAAATATTAAAGGTTTATTTAGCTCACAGTTTGTAGAGCTTTCAGCCCATAATCTGCTGGCTCTAAGCCAGTGTGACTTGGAAAATGGGTATCACAGCACAGAACTTGTAAATGGCAAGCAGAAAGCAGTGAAAGCAAGCAAAGGACAAAATAATCCTCTTTCTGTCATTCATATTGTATCTTGACTACTAGGGTTAGGGTGGTGCCATACCAATCAGTGGGTTGATTTAGTAATCACCCACCTTTAATTCTAGCACCCTTAGTACTAGCATTGTACCATGAATCAATCGCATACTCAGATTCAGTCAGCTCTGAAAAAGATTCACCTATGACTGCATTAGGCTTTGGTGGGGGGTTATCTAGACACAGGCCATAACATCATCCATTCCCATAAGGCCAAGTATTAAATACAACTGAAGCAGTAGATTGATCAGAGTGCATACTTGGGGAAGAACTTAGCAGTTTTTCTGTTGTTGGATCTCTGTTAGAATTTTAAGTATAGACTCAGAAATTTAACAGTAGACATCAATGAAGACTTCAAGTTTATTTATCAGATGGTTGCTTATAATAATAAGTTCATGTGTGCATTGTTTGATAATTTCAGTAGACAAGTAATTATTCCATTTTGTAGATGAAGAATTCAGAATTCAAAAAGCTTAAATATTTTTAGCTAGTAAACTTTGGAAAAAGACTGAAAATTCAGGTATTCTGACTTCTTTCTCTCTATGCTTATTGAACTACAGTAATTGACATTCATATTCTATATTAAGCGTAAAGGTGTTCTCTAGTTTCTTGTCCATTAAATTCTATAATCAAAGAAGCTACTGGACATCTCCTTTTATTCTTTACTAAAATAAAGTCTGCTGATGAGGTCTAAATAAGCAGACATACATCATGGTTTTTCTTAGCTATGCGTGTGGAGTTTTCTTGTTTTGTTTTGTTTTATCTTTTTGAGAAAAGGTCTTGCTATGTAGGTCAGGCTGGCCTGAGCTCACTTTGTAGCCCAGGCTGGTCTCGAACTCACAAGGATACTCCTGCCTTAGCCTCCCAAATGCTGGGATTACAGGTGTGTACCACCACACCCTGCAGCTATCTGTGTTCTGAAGAAAGCACAAAAAGAAATATAAAAATCTTAAAGTATGAATAGTTAATTTATTCGAGTTTTCCATTACAAATCAGTGGCCCTTAAAGATTCTTTTCTCATTTAAAGTTGAAACAGAGCCAAGAATATTTTCCAGGTCTTTGTGGAAAAGAGCAGAGACAGAAATTATTTTCATTTAGTCCCAAATTAGCTTTAAATGCCACACTCCCGGCCCTAAACCTAAGCACTTGAAAAGTTGTGATTTTTTTTTTTTTTTTTTTTTGAGAAAAGGTCTTACTAAGACTTTGAATTCACTATATATGTAACTGAGGCTGGCGTCTAATTCACGGCAATCCTCTTGCCTCAGTCTTCTGAGTGCTAGGATTACAGTTATGTGCCACCATGCCTGGCTTTGAAAATCTAATTCTTTTAACAGTTTTCAGACTATGTTACTTTACAAATTTCTTTCAACTGTGGTTTTTGTTTTAATGATAATGTTGAGCCAATGATTTAACCTTTCTATTTTCTTTGAATTTTGATGATTCTGGCCAAAATCCCCTATCCTATAACTGATATGCCTGTGGTTATGCCCAGAGCAGGGACCACAACACAGCTCTCCTGCCTGTTGATTCTATTGCAGTAACCCTTGTCCATATACTGACTTCTGTTTCTTTTAGGACTGGGGAGATTATGAATCCTAAAACATAAAAATGTACCTTTCAGAATATCCAAAGTCTCCCCATAAATTTTTGGTGTCCTTCTCAGACTATCTTCTTACCCTTTAGGTAACAAGTCACTTGGAATACCTTGACGTCTCCTCTTGGGGAGGCCAACCTAGTGCAACTGGAGCTTACAGATGAAAAGATTTTGAGGTGGAGGATTCTCACCCAGAGATTCCAAATGGCCGTATAATATCTTTTCTTTTTCCTCTTTATCTAAGAAACTGACTAGAATAGAGAGGTTGCATATTACACCAAAAAAATGTACCCTCAAAGCCCCTGAGCAACACAAAACCTCAAAGCTATTTTACTTTATTTACCGTTGAGCATCTTGGGTATATTACATTTATCTTCTCATAACTGAAAGTCTAATTCATTACCTCCCAGGCATATACATTTAGTGTGAGGCATTTATACTTTATAGAGGAAGAGAAAGAAATAAACATTTGTAAAGCATCTGTTACATGTCATATAATGATTAGTACTTCTCTTTATGTCTATTTATTTATTGGTACCAGGAATTGAACTGAGGACCTTGTGCTTAGCAGACAGACGCTGTGCCACTGAGCTATATCCCTGGCTCTTTAGGCCTTGTTTTAAATTCTGACACATATAGTTGATATTCATCTCCTCCTTTGACAAATGAAAAGAATTTCAGTGTATAAAATACTAAAAAATATTATAAATAATTTTCAGTATACAAAGTACTTTAGGAACATTTGAACCAGAACTTACAGAAAGCAATGAAAGCCATCCTCTGACGGAACTTTATGACTGAATCCCTACATCACACAAAAAAAGGAGTCCAAATAATTAACCTGATGATGGATCTCAAGGTCCCCAAAAAACAAAAACAATCCAAACTCAAAACTAGTACAAAGAAACTATGAAGGCGAGAGTGGAAATGAGTGAAATTGAGACCCCCCCAAAAAATACAGAGGATTAATGAATTGAAGAGTCAGTTCTTTGAAAAATCAAAGAAAAGGACACTTAGCCAATCTAATTAGAATAAATAGAAAAAATACCCAGATCAGTGCAGTTAGAAATGAAAAGATAAAATCACAACAAACACTGCCAAAATAGAAAACATTATCAACAACTGCTTTGCAAACCTGTACACCAATAAATTAGAGAATTCAGAAGAAATGAATAGATTTCTAGATACACTGAATTACCAGAATGAAACCAAGATGATTTTAAAATCATGAACAATCCAATAACAGATAATGAAATTGAAGCAGTTATAAATAAGATACCACTAAGAAAAATCCACATCCAGATAGGTTCACTGCTAAACTTTACAAAACTTTAGGAAAGTTCTAACACCAATACTTCCCAAGCTTTTTAATGAAATTGAAAAATAAGCAGTACTCCTAAAATCATGCCTGAAAGCTAACTTTAACCTGACTGCCAAACCAAATGGGCACTCAAACAAAAAAAAACCATAGACCAATCTCTTTAATGAATATAGATGCAAAAATCCTTGACCAAATACTGGGAAATACAATGCAGCAAGTCATCAAAAAGATCATATATCATGACTAAATAGGCTTCATCCTAGGGATGCAGGAATGATTCAACATAGGTAAATCAATAAACATAGTCATTTAGAGAGGAAACAATAAAAATCACAGAATCATCTCAACAGATGTAGAAAAAGCCTTTGACAAAGATCAGCATCCTTTCATGATAAAAACACTGAAGGAAATAGTTATAAAAGAACCTTATCTCACTGGGTGTAGTGGCACATACCTATAATCCTAACACTTGGGAGGCTGAAGTAGGAGGATTGCTGTGAGTTAGAGGGTTAGAGTTTGAGACCAACATGGCCCACAAAATGAGTTCAAGCCTGAACTGCATAGTAAATCTCTATCTCAAAAAAGAAAAGAAAAGAACCTTATCTCAACCTGATAAAAGCCATCTAGGAGAGACCTACTACAATATATTAAATGGGGAAAAACTGAAAGCTTTCTGTTTAAAATAAGGAGCAAGACAAGGATGTCCACTGTCACTGTTCCTGTTCAACATACCAGTAGCAGTGGAAACGTTACCAAGAGCAATTAGGAAAGAGAAGAAAATAAAAGAGTGTTAGATAAAAGGAAGAAGTCATCTTATCATTATTTGTAGATGACATGATCCTCTACATAGATAACCCAAAAAATGCCCAAAAAAACTCTTGTTAATAATAAAATTCAGTAATACAGCAGGATATACAGCCAATGCACAGAAATCAGTAACAATGTGAGGGCAATCTGACTGTGACATCTGTCACTCCATTGATCACCACTGTTGATTTGCCTAATCTGGCTGACCAGATAGCTGTCCCTTCCTCCCTTGTGGCTCCATATGCCCCCTTTTTGAAGCTGTATACTCTGAAAAAGAATTTTCTCTGTCAAAGGTATAGGAGCTCCCTTGCTAGAACCTCCAAACAAGCTCTCACAGTCCTTGTGCTGGTGTGAGTCTGTAATTCAAGCACTCACTTAATTTGGAGGCTGAGGCAAAGCATCTCCTTGAGTTCAAGTCCAGCCTGAACTGCATAGCGAGACCCTGTCTCAAAAAAGACAAAAAAAAGAATGCTAAATTATAAACAAAAAGCAAAATAAAAAATAATAGGAAGAAGGGAAATAAATTGTTCCCAAAGGGAAGGTAGAATACAAGGGGAAGGAAGAGGGAGAGGGGGGATAGGGAATGAATAAAAAAAGATTGGAAGGTGTTTGTACATGTACTAATTCCATACAAGAAATATAATCATTATATACTACACACATGTGCTAATATGATAAAAAAATTTTAAAAGAGTATCTGAGGGGAATGCTAATTCTACCATAGGGACTTTGTGAAGATATCTCAGAGGTAAGCTAATTTTCAAGGATTAAGAAAGAGTTTCCAATGGAACAAGCACAATAAAGAGCCTAATACTACACCTCAGGCTACTTACAAAAAGAAGTGCAAGTCAAGCTTATAGCTCAGAAAGACGGAAGGAAATTATAAAAATGGAACAGAAATTAACGCAATTGAGACTATGAAAGCAATATACAGAATTAACAAATTGAAGAGTTGGTTCTTTGAAAGAATAAATAAAATTGATAAACCTCTAGGCAGCCATATCCAAAAAAAGAAAGAAACATTCAAATTCATGCAGTAAGGAATGAAAAGGATGAGATCAGTATAGATCATGTGTAAATTCAGAAGATCACCAATACATACTTTGAAAATCTTTACTCTCATAGGATGGAAAATTGGAAAAAATGGGCAAATTCCTAGAAACATGAATTGCCAAAGCTGGATCAAGAAGATATAAAAATTCTGAATAATGCAGTATCAGTTAACAAGATTCAAAATGTAATTAAAAACTTACCAACAGAGAAAAGCTCAGGTCCTGGTGGATTCACAGCTGAATTCTACAAGAAACTTAGAGAGTTAATACCAATACTCCTCAAACTCTAATTGAAAGGGAATTCCTAGAGGCAGGTATTAATTACCCTGATACCAAAGCCAGAGAAAAACACAATCAAAAATAAGAATTACAGGCCAATCTTCATAATGAACATGCAAAGATACTCAATAAATGCTAGGAGAGTACAGCAAATCATCAATCCCATGACCAAGTAGGATTCATCCCAGGAGTGCAAGGATGGTTCAGCATGTACAAATCAGTAGATGTAATTCACCATATAAACAGAGCCAAAGAAAAAAAATCACATGACCATCTCAATAGATGCAGAAAAACTTTTGACAAAGTCCAACACTCATTCATGCTAAAAGCCCTTAGAAAATCAGTGTAGGTAGTCTTTACATCAATCTGGTAAAAGCCATCTATGACAGACCATCAGCCAACATTAGGTTGAAACTGAAAGCTTTCAAAGTAAAATCAGGAGCAAGACAAAGATGTCCATTATTGCTACTGCTATTCAATATAGTCCTAGAAACATTAATTAGCCAGAAAAATTAGACAAGAGAAATAAAAGGAATATGAATAGGAAAAGAAGTGACTTTATCATTATTCACAGATGATATGACGTTCTACATAGAAAAACCCAAAAATGCTACCAAAAGGTTTCTAGATTTAACAGCCAGATCCAGTAGCATAGCTGGATACAAAGTCAGTATTCAAAAATCAATAGCATTCCTGTACACAAAAAACAAACTCACTGTGAGAGAAATCAGGAAAACCACACCCCTCATAATAACATCTAAAAAGAAATGAAATACTTAGGAATCAATGTAACAAAGCAAGTAAAAGATCTGTACATTGAAAATTACAGTACTCTGAAAAAAATTGAAGAGGATCTCAGAAATAAAGAGATATTCCTTGTTCATGGATAAAAAGAACCAACATTGTGAAAATGGCCATATTCCCAAAACTTACACAGATTTAATTCAGTTCTGATCAAAATACTATTAACATACTTCACAGACATAAATTCCTAAAATTCGTCTGAAACCAGAAGAGATTTAAAATAGCAAAGGCAATCCTGAGCAACCCCTTACTTGAAATTATGCTACAAAGGTACAGTGATAAAGTCAGCACTGGTGCTGGCAAAAAAGCAGACCTGAGGATCAGTGAAACAAATTAGAAGATGCAGAAAGAGCTAGAAACACACTCAGCCACTTTATCTTTGATGAAAGGGCCAAACATGTTCACAAAAAAAAAAAAAAAAAAAAGCTTCTTTAAGAGAAATGGTGCTGAAAAAACTGGCCTTCTATATGCCAAAGACTGAAATTAAACCCATGTGTATCATCATACACTAAACTAAGGTCAAAATGGATCAAAGATCTAAATATTAAAACAGGGACCAGGGATATAGCTTAGCAGCACAGGGCCTGCCTGGCAAGCATGAGGTTGTGAATTTGATCCCTGATATAAAGAAAAATAAACAAATATTAAAACAGAAACACTAAATCTACTGGAAGAGAAAGTAGGTAGAAATCTTGAAGACATAGGGGTAGACAAAAGAGTTCATGAACAAAAACCAAACTGTACAAGAAATAGTTCAAAGAATCAACAACTGGTATCTCATCTTATTAAAAACTTTTTGTACCTCAAAAGAAATTACCAACAAATTGAAAAGAAAACCCACAAATTGGGAAAAAAATTTTAACCAACTATCCCTCAAACAAAGGACTTCTATCTAGAGCATTTAAATAATTAAAAAAATCAAGTCCCCCAAATTCAAATACCCAATCGAAAAATGGGCTTCTGAGATGAATACACACTTCTCAGATGAAAAAATATAAATGACAAGTAAATACATGAAAAAAATGTTTTGCATACTTGGTTATTTGAGAAATGCAAATTAAAACAACCCTGAGATTCCATCTGACCCCAGAAAGAATGACTATCATTTGAAAAATCAATACTAAAGCTGGCAAGTATGTGGCAAAAAAAGGAACCCTTCTCCACTATTGGTTTGAGTAGAGACTAGTACAACCACTGTACAAATCAGTGTAAAGATTCTTCAAAAAACTATGATTGGAGGTCTCATTCAACTCAGCTATTGCCCTTCTGGGTATTATTCCAGAAGAGTTGAAAACATCATACCACAGCAATTATATGTGAACCCATGTTTATAGCAGCACAATTTGTAATAGCTAAATCTTGGAAACAACGCAATTGCCCATCAACTGCAGAATGAATAAAAAAGATGTGGTGTTTTTATACAATGGAGAACTACTCAGATCTAAAGAAAGATAAATGGATGCAACTAGAGACCATACTCATAAGTGAAATAAATCAGACTCACATGTGTAAACGTCATAATGTCTCCATAGTATAAGAAACTGAAAGAGTAAATAAGATCCAAAGAATACAGTAGATACTGTGAAAGGGAAAGAAATTGCTCAAAAGGAAAGAACAACTGGGATGGGGAAAGGAGGGACGAAAAGGAGAGGGGAAAATATATATATTTATATACACACACAAAGAACAGTACGCAATATAATACCCATTGTTAATTCCTATCATCTTGTTTTAAAATTCTGTATCATTTCTATTGGTTTCTTTTTTAAATTCTTAAAAAAAAATTTTTTTTTAATTTCCATGCTGTATAGACAGGAAAAAGATAAAGGAAAAACATGATATATGGGGAATTTCAATTCCTTTCTGTGGTTTGAGGAAGGAAGTATTCAGTTGGGAAATATAAGTAGGAATATAAACTGTTGTCACAGATAAGGTTCTCATCACAGTGCTGTTTATAATACAGGAGATGAAACAACCAAGTATCCACCACATACTGTGGAAAATTAAATGAATTAAATATTCGGGCACATATTCTATGTCTAATTAGACAGCCTATAAAAGTTAAATTTCTGAAGAAGAATATTTAATAATATATGAAAATACTGGATTTGGAAACATTATATTATCTATTGCATTGTTTTCAAGTTTATGAGAACTTTTTCAAAAAGGATAAATGAGATAAAATCTGAACATCAATAAGTGAATGAATGATTATTTAGTAGCAGCTAAGGTAAGCAGGTATTATGTCCATCAGGGATGAGAAAAGAAGACTGAAGAAAATTAAATATGAGTAATGTTAATCCCAGCCTCAGGAAGCTGAGGTAGGAGGATCACAAGTTCAAGGCCAGCCTAGACCACAAAGCAAGATCTTGTTTCAAAAAACAACAAAATTGTACATTTTGTTAAGTATGCTAATAACTTTGTGTTTTTTTTAGTTTTATATATTACATAGTGAAATATTTAAATATGAAATGCCATGCTGACCTGGGACTTGCTTTTAACTGTTCCAGAAAAAAATAAATAAATAAAGGCAGGAAGTAGATACAAAATAAGTATAGCAAAATATTGAGGTTGTTGAAGTTGAATGATGACTATGTAGACTTGGTTATATTCTTCTCTTTTTTTTTTTTTTTTTTTGTATATTTGAAGTGACCATCAAAAAACTTAAAAGAAGAAAAAGACAAAGTAGCATATAATATGCTAATTAAAGTATTTATACACTGTGTTGTATTGAATAACAATGTATATAGAATTTATGTGTTATAGTATATATGTGTTACACTGTATAAACATTTTAAGGAGTAATTGTATTAAAAGAAAAAAGGCCTTGCTGTGGGAAAGAAAGGTATAAGGAGAAAAAGTGTTTGGATGTTAGGCAGACAGAGAAGCAAGAGTGTGGGCTGTGTCCCAGAAGCCAAGAGAAAATGGTTTTAAGGAGCAGAGAGCTGCTTTGACCTCATCTTTAACAACATTGCCACACTTAGAGCAGTTTTGGAACTCTAATTTTGGAACTGTCTGTTTTGAAATATCCATTAGCCATGCCAAAGTCTGATTCTTGGAAGGTAAATTTGATTTATTGCAACAGGGAAAAATCTCATGGGACCAAATCTAGTGAATAAAGTTAGATTTTGGGTCAGCTAATACTATCTTTGATCAAAAGAACCAATTGTGACCTTAAAATAATGAGATTGGATATTTAGTATGGTTTTTGGAGTGATGTTAAAGACATTTCCAAAATATGTCAGTCATGATACTTTTGCAGAATAAGCGTTATAAGTTAAGCCTTTGATAAATTCTGTGCTTAGATTTATAACTCAGGCCTTTTGTTTTTAATATTCCATCTACTTTGATTACTTGTCAAATATTTGATGTCCTGGAGCTTTCATGTGTTTTCTAGGCTCTAAATATAAGCAAAGCAGTAAGAAATAGCATAGTATACAGGAAGACAAAAAATGCCAGCTCTGGAGCCAGGCTTGCTGACTTAGTTCTGCCCTCCTCAATACATGCTGTCCGTTTTGAGGTGAATTAGTGCACTTCATTTCTGTAGGGCTCAATGTCTTGATAGTTTACTGGAAGATTTAGAAGTCATGTGTGTAAAATGCCATTCCCCATATACAGCATGTGGACAGCTCATAGCTCATCCTAGTAGAGATGTCCTAATATAACTTTGCCTCTTTGTTCAGCAGACATGCCTTCCCTCTTGGGACATCAAATGAGAAAAGAAAAGAGCTAATGGATTTTTGCTTTTGGTATCATGAGAGGGCAAATTACTTAGGCCTAACTCACTGGAGGGAGAGAGTTCTTGTAGTCAGTATGAAACAAGTATTTTAAGAGTGTGTGTTACTTTGTGCCTAGCTTAGATGGAGATTGGAAAAGTGAAGAAGTTGGGACCTGACCAGGAACCAGTTCCTGTTGTTTATTGGAGAGGTGATAGGGAACTATGATCATGCCAACTTGGAGTGACTTGACATGAAATAACTTTTTGGTCCAAACTGGCTAGAACTGTTACAAACAAGATGACAAAGGCTGCCAATTCAAAGGGATACATTCATCTAGCCTCCTACTGGCCTGTCTCTTCCACCAAGCAAGACTTTTAAAATCCTTCTTTAACATAGTAGAACCACAAAACTTAACCATCTGCAGGTACTATGCCAAGATGCTTTATGTGCACTATTTCCTTTCATAAGGAACCTTCTGAGACCAAGACTGTGCTTAATCTACACTTCATGGGCTGACAGTACCTACAGTGCTTGCTGGTAAAAGACAGAGTGAGAATTCTTTGCAAGCCAACTTTTCATTGTGTGAATCCTTTCTCACTAAGAATAATGGTCTGTGTAAAACTAAGAGAGACATCCACTCAACCATTATGTTGTAGTTTTGAATACATGAACAGAATTGATACAGTCAGTGCCTGCCCTTTAACCAACACCTGCATAATAAAGTGTTGAAAAGACTAGAACACAAGCTAGACATGATGACACATGCCTGTAATCCCAACACTCTGGATGGCTGAGGCAGGAAAACTGCAGTTTTGCCTTAGAGATTTAGCTCAGGGAAAAGGCCCTGAAATTCAATCCCAAGTACCACCACAATACACACACACACACACACACACACACACACACACACACACACACATATCCATGCATACATACAACAATAGGACACAAAGAATAGAACTGGGAGAAAGAAAAAAATGCTGTTTGTCTGAGATTAAGGTACAATGTGAATTAAATTCAAGCTTCTATACTGTTCTCCATTCTTCAGCTCATTCTGGGCAGTAGAGAGGGAATTGCAGTTTAAAGCAGAAGGTCTGCTTAAGTTGGAGATAAATCAAGAATATCAAAATCACAAAGAAACTGCATGTGCCAGGGTGAATGTTTGCTGTAGGTAGTGTGGCCCCAGCTAGCCTTATGATTTTGGGTCAAGTCCTGAGTCTTTCTAACTGGTATGAGGGTTCTCATCATGTTTTCCTTTAAGAAGGTCCAGGGAAGAGCCCAGTGGCTCACAAATTCCTATTCAGTGCCACAGGAAGAGTTCTCCTGTGAGGGGAGTGGGAGACCCCAAAGAAAGAGATAGAATTCAGCCTCTACAGAGCTGATTGAACTGGGGATGGAATGAGCATGGGGATTCTGCCTACTGTGTGTGGTTCCATGTAGCCCTTTGTTAGAAGGCATCCTGGGCGGCCAAGAGAGTGTGTTGACCAAGGAGGGTGGCTGCTGCTAGGAGCTATAAGTAAATAAATAGATGTCAGAAGCTTACAATTAGGAGGAAAACAAAGAATCATTACTCTGGCTTGAGCATGTTGCTTTGGATGTTTTGGGTAATGATTGTGAAGGGTTTTACACACAGACTAAACTGAGTTCTTTGTGTTCTTTTTGGAGTAGAGAGCTTGCCAAGTCAATTTCAGCATACAAAATACAGACAATTATTCTTTTGGCATTTAGAAGCTTTCCTTGTTTTTGCCGGGAGGATGGGGTATTCAGCCCGTTACAGAGGAAGGCTTTATAAGG